ACTATCTGGCATTCCCTAATAAAATAACACGCAATGAGTGAGTCAGAGAAACAATTTCACACCGATGACATTGATCTCTAAAGCCCATTAAGCCCACTCTCCACAATGAAATCATTCATCCACCTGCCGATCAATGTTCACTGGCCCTGATCAGCAACTCACAATGAAAATATACCTCCCGACTAATCACTGGTTGTGTCCACCTTTTCCAATTATTACATTTGCTTGTTTTAAAATGTTATCATTTCTTGCAGACTACACTGTAAAAATAAAAAAGAAAAAAAACAAACAAGAAAAAACAGCCCACTACGTATATAAATCTACCACTATCGCCAAGTGTGAGAGGCTTCTGGAGGTATGGGGTTCGGGGGCGCTGGCCTGTGGAATGCTGGGGCAGTCAGTACGCCCAGCGCAGTTGCGATGACATGATGAGAAAAATGGCATGAGGGAAATTCGCGTTTCGACAATCCTTTTTAACCCACTGAGTTAAAAAAACCACTGAGAAAACTAAGATATGACAATCTGGTGTGTTTTTCATTCAACCATTAGACATCACAGCAGACACCCTCCGTATGATGTATTTATGTTTAAGGTAAACAAACCAGTAAGTCAATACAGTCACAACCTTGTGCGACGTGCATTTAGACTTGGCACTGCAAGTACATTGTGATAATAACAGTAGTATGATAGCGAACCAGGGTGAGAGGAAAAGCACGGTCAAACACCAGGTTGACAAAGCCCTATGATGTGTTAATACTGCGACCTCATAGTGTCTATACGACGTGAGCTGGTATCATCCTTCACTATGAACACTGCAATTACACGTTGCCCAGAGGGCAACCAACACCAAACCACATCCACACCCACATCCAATGACAGTTGAGCTGGCTAGCCCACAAGGTGGGACCACAAGGAACCGAAAGGATGCGTACCCCAGGGACCAATGGAGAAGAGGAGAAGTGGAGTAATATGTGGTATGACTATGTGTTATATACGGTTGGTTGTGTGTGTCCGTCTGGTGGTGTGTGGGTGCATGGTGTGAACATTCTGATAGTAGGTGACTGTGTGTGGTGTGTGTGTGTGTTGTGTGTCGGTGTGTGTGGTTGTGCTGTGTTGTGTGTGTTGTGTTGCTTGTACGTGTTGCTGTTTTTGATATTGTTTTTGCATATTGCATGCAAGAGCTTCGAGCTATTACAGGAAACACCACATACATATCTACCCTTAGACATCCTTTACAACGTCCTAGTTTTTCGCTAATCCTTAGGGAGAGATGTGATATCAAAGCCACACAGCCAGCCAAATGTGCCTGACAAGTAGAGAGCAGTGGACATCAAATCAACTACCATGTGATTCATGAGTCACACCAGAATAGAAAGGCCACTTCCTGTTCACTTATATCCCCTGTTTGCCCACAAAACTCTGTCCTACAGTGATCAAGAAACATGAGCATGTGTCATGACCGAGGATAATCGTCACAACTCTAATATTCATAATAATCCAAACTCTGCAAGTATACGCAATGCCTAATCCTGACATTATTCTATACTATTCACTGCATATGCTGCCTAATGGTAGATCACTGTGTAAAATACGCATGATCCGAAGCCAAGGAATATATATAATTAAATATATACATATACACCACACATATATAATATAACACTGCTGCTCATAAATTGGAATTAAAATATATTTTTTTACCTCTTTATGCAAATTGATTTGTGAACAATATGATCTATCATTTACCACCTGTGTAATTGGGGACGAGCATTAATGTCATCATTGCACCTGGCTCAAAATCGTATTACGATGCATGTTAAATAGGAATAAACAGAGGATTCGTGTTCTGAAAACAGAAATTATTCCAACATTCATGGCAACAGTGATTATATATACGTATATATAAATTTATGTCATATATATATCATATATTCTTGGCTTCGGCTCTTGCATATTTCACACAGTAAAATTGCACAAGTAAATAGCAGCAGAGCTGTGTGTACTTATAATATATATATATATAATATACTGCGATTACTGAATATCCTATATATTATAACCACACACACACACACACACACACCACCATATATATATATATATATATATACACACATATGTCCAGTAGTAGTTCACTGACAAAGTCCCATCAGAATAGATGCCTGCAGATGTCAACACAGCTCTACTCACTATCCCCACTACCACCAATCAACAATGGAAAACAATGGACTTGTATATGCCACTGCAAGAGTATCCTGGAGATACAGTACTTGGGTAGAAGAAGCTGAAGAAGGTTGGACGCAAAGATCAAAACAGAGGGATGTTAGCAGCAGAGGTTGTTTGTAACAGAGGTACAGAGGGGTGTCATGAGAGACAGGTTCTGGATGGAAAAGAAGTACACTGCTGACTGACCACACCACACACACTGGATGCTACAAGCTGGATTAATGCAGGCAAGGCAAAGTCTAGTTAAGTCAACTCCAAGTTGAAATGTAGACTGTTCAGAGCATCAGGAAACTGGCCCCTGAGGAGAGAGGGAAAGAGCTCAGAAAGGAAATGTTTGAAGAGTTGAGAGAAATGGAGAAGGAAGCACAGAGCGAGAGCTGCTCTGCAAGAGCTCCAGAGGTGCAGGAGGAAAGAAGACGAAAGAAATAATAAAACTCAAAAGTCAGAAAGAAAGAGTTGAGTAGGACAGGAGAATAGGAAGAGGCAGAAGGCCAAACAGGGAGAGGAGGGAATAGGAGGGAAACTGAGCCAAAGGCCCCAGAGAATCAAAAACAGGAGCAACTGAAGCAAGAGAGGCTTCAGTGGAAAAAGGAAAGTAGAGGAAGAGCCCATCGCAAGTCTCAGATTCACCTTAAGTGATCTGAAAAAGGAGAAGCAGATGAGGTGTGAGGAGGCTGAGCTTTGTCTTGAGTGAGGAGTGGACAGCAAAAACAGTTTACAGTGCCTGACATCTGAGGTGCAGAGCCAGGAGGTCAGGCCAAGAAAACCTCTTTTGAGCATTTGCGTTGGAGAGCAGAAAACAAACTGTGACTATCCAAGGGGAGCTCCACCCAACCGCCTCCACATCATTTTCTCAAAAAGCAGCAAAACCAAAATCATTTAAGCCCCTGTAGTGGCAGCAGGACAGACTGGAGTTTTGACTCAGCTTCAATAAGAACCAGGACCAGATGGAGAGAAACGGGGAGTGCAGGCTCAAAGAGCACAACTGATAGTGTGAGGCCTGCAAGGACAGGCGCCGGAGCCATTTGTCTGAGCAGTTTGACGGTTACAGCATGTCAAGAGACAGCATCCTCAAAAAATTAGAATTGAACTGAAAATAATGTAAATTTCATCAGGAAATCTAATGAATTCAGTAAAGTAACATGATGTATATGCAGCAGTATAGTTGCAGTTCAATCTGAGACAGTAAACAGGCCTTTCTCATTGGTACTAGTTATATGTAACAGGATTATGTAAAGAAATGACAAACTAAATGTATTTGTAATGTTACATTAAACATCAAAACATCAAAATGTTGGTGATATAAAAGGGGTTACATATCAATATGCGTAATTTTTCTTTCGTTAAAAAGCTGATCTGTAGGGACGTCGAGTGGCGCAGTGGGTTGAGCAGGCGCCCCATATGTAGAGGCTACAGTCCTCGCTGCAGTCGGCCCCGGTTCGAATCCCGCATCGGATGGCCCTTTACTGCATGTCATTCCCCCTCTCTCTGCCTCTCTCTCTCTACTGTGCTATCAAATAATGGCAAAAAAAGCCCAAAAAAATATACTAAAAAAAAAAAAAGCTGATATGTAGAATATGACATTCATGCTGTTGCTTTACATCTTTGGTCGAGCAAGAACATCTTCTCTTGGCATATTTGCAGACAATGCGGGTGAGACAGGAGCATGGTAGGTGTGAGATCATGTACACATCAACCTTCAACACTCCACTAACTTCATTCAGCATTGTGTTTCACTAAATATTAACTTGGAGAGGTCACTATGCACCAACAGACTAAATTAATGTTACCGTTACCATTATGGAAAGTAATCAGATGTAATAAGTTACATTACTTTAACGGAGTAATGAAAACAGTTACATTACTCTTTAATTAGTAATCTGTAACTTATTACATTTCAAAAGTAACCTTCCCAACACTGCACATTGGTTGGTTTTAACAGACACAAGAGGGAGCAATAGGACAACTAAACAAGATGAACTGCTGTGACACTTCTTCCCTAAGGGAATTAAATAAAGCTCTTGCTATAATCAGAGGGGTTCCAATCAGAAGGGATCAATTAAGCTAACTGAAAGTGTTTGCACTTTCAGTCTGTGCATTCCTAGTATCCATGCCAGACTGAGAGACAAATATTTACAATGACGGTAGAAATGATTTTAGGAGAAAAACAGTCTGCAGCCAAATGATCACATTTGTCAGGGCACTGGGAATGTCTGGTAAACAGGAACAAACACTGGAAATGTTTATTTATTAAAGGTTGCAGTCTAGCTTCCACATACAGTATTGGATCTGGGTGCACTGTGGTCTTACCCGGACTTGAAGGACGTGAACTGAAGAGACATTTTCGTTTCACCACCAAGTAGCTAAACATCAGGTCACCAGGGTTCAATGCTGTCAAACATGAAATTAAATTCAATGTAAGCTTGAAACACACACACAAAGACACACTCACACAAATAAACATGTACGTGTGAACACCTGCAAGCTGTTTGAGATAGAAACATTGCACGTTTTGTGCGCATACCTGCATGTTTATGAATAATAAATGAATGACGTGGATGAATGGGTGGAATATGAACGTGAACACTCAGCTCCCGCTCTCATTTGGTGATGACGTACAGTAGCTGCAGGTGGATGTCTTGAAGCAGAGCCCCACACCCCCATCCCCACCGCCCATCACCAGACTCGTTACGTTATTTCCGCAGCTGTGCTGTCGTGAGTAGATACTACGTCGCATGTTCCTCCACCCCCCTCACCCCCCTCCATCCCCATGCCCCGCCTTTTCACTGTGAGGAATTAGTTCTTTCATCCATTTATTTATATTTTTTCCTTCACATGGGCTTTTTCGGGGGGGGTGGAGTGTGAGCTGTCGACACTGGCTGCAGCTCGTTTGAACAGTATGGGGATTTAAAGGACTGGTGCAAGGGACCAAAACGAGACCAAAAAGAGACTCCGCATCTTTTTCTCTGCATCTCCTGCGCTGCGGTGAGGCTGGAGAGGATCATGCAACACCTCACACCATGGCGAGCTCTGCTCCTTCTAACCGCGCTGTGCCAACCAGGGAGCTCAGACAAATACGGTAAGCTGATGATGTTGATGATGCTACAGATGATGATGGCACGAGCCTTACCAGAAATCACTGTTGCACCACTGTATTGTCCCCACAGGTTAATGTCGTGTCTAAGTAGCTAACGACTTTATGGTGATATCATCCTCCTGTCGGCTACTTTGTCCCCTGTGGCACGGTGCTGTAATATTCCAGCTCAGAGTAAATTTAGGAATAACTGTATTCACGTGCCACATTAGAGGGCTATGAGTTATTCAAAATGAAGTGTATTTTGAAGAATATTGGCCAGAGAGAGATACAGTATGTGAGTAAATGTAGATGATGATAATGTAATGAGATTAAACAGAGATGGAGGATTCAAAGAGTGAAGGGGAAGAGACAACTAAGTCTAGGGAGTAGGGGATTAATGACCCATATCATCCCTCCCTCAGAACTCCTTATGCTATTATAGACATAATGTTATTGTTTGGAGTCCTTTTACTAAAACAGCCACCAAATCCAGATGTTGAGGATAAATCAATAACGCCCAGACCAGCCTATGTACACAATACAAGATGAAAAGTAAACAGCAGAATCATGTAAACAATTCAAACATAAAATAAGACACAACAAGTCATGTTTTACGAATTTATATATGATACCAAACACTTAAGACTGATTTCAATAAATATGGCTGTTTTTAGACGGAGATATACTGTGGGGTGCAAATCTCTAATGAGCAAAAACAAAAGAAAAGGAAATAAGTTCAGTCAAACAGGTTATTTTAAATGTGTTAGGCGATTCTTTAACTGTGTCACTCTCAGCAGTAGAAGTAGCAGTGACATTAGCAGCAGTAGCTGTAGTGTAACTATTATTGATAATGGCAGCTATAGCAGGCTCAGCAGTAATTATCTTCTACTGATTATTGCTATAGATGGAGTGACTTGAATATGTATTTTAGTAGATTGATGCATTGAACTGGTATCATTTGTAATTGATGCAGTGATGCAACAAGTGAATTGTTACACCCGCATATTTTATTGAAAAAAAACAAAAAGCCTGTCTGTCTGACGTGTGTAGGTGGAGATTTGTGAAGTAGGGAGTGAATTCAATGAGTAATTCAGACTGATACTGAGAAAGGCCAAATGCTATTCCCTCCTTCAGATGTAAACAAGGTTTTGTTCTAATAGAAGGGCTGCCAACCCATCATTTTCCCTCCACATCTGTACATATCCAGTCATTTAATTTGTAATGTATATTTTAAATGCTTTCTCACTTTTAGCCTTTAAGTACAATCACCCAAATGTGATTAATGAAACAGCTTAGAGGCAACTGGTTACAGCTGAGTGTAGAACTATAATATGTATATGTGTATTTATCCAAAACTACTCTACTAATAAATTAGAATTAACATAAACTACTTGTGTTTCTTTACAATTTGCCATTAGAATCATCCTGAGAAAAAAAACACCCCTGAGAAAACCGAAGAAATTACAAAAGCACAAAAACAGGGAACAATGCAGACTACAATGAAAAGCCATTCTGCAAGCGCCAGTGATTTCAGCACCATGGAGAGAAACTAGTCACCACTGTTGTTTCTCTTTGTCCATTCATTCATTAATTCCTTTCACACATGCATCCAGCCATCTGCTCATTTGATTAGACGTCCATCCATATGTGCGACTGTCCATCTTCACACTCTCAGCATGATGTTCGTGTGTGAGTTGACGTTTCTGCAGCCAGTTATTTCCCTAAAGGACTGATGCCCTGTTGCTATGACAAATTTTAATATTTCCTTGTCAAAGTCTGTTCTCATTGGAGCCTTTGTGTTTTACCATGCTAACGTACACATTTTAAATACTGATAACTGAAGCTTTAGTGATGTCCCTCACTTGTAAATTGCTTTGGTTAAAAGCGTCTGCCAAATGAGTAAATATAAATGTAATAATTATTCAATAATAATAATAAGACAATTCACATAGGTCAACACACACACTTGTAAGGGTAACATCCTCCTCAGTGTTGCATTTAACAAACCACAATGTACAGGCATTTGCAATCATATCCAAATAAACTGAAATAAATTTGTTGAAGTGGCTTTGTGACCTGGTTCTTTGTCAATCGTCTGACCAACACGACAAGAGATCCTTTCCTGGACAATCAGTCACTCTCTGATGACTACTACTCTGTGACCTGCATGGTTGCAATTACTCAGAATCGTCTTGGCTGTGTACCAATACAATAATATCTGTGTGTGTGTGTGTGTGTGTGCGTGTGTGTGTGTGTGTGTTTCTGCTGAAGGTTGTGTGAAGGTTCACACACAACCCTCCACAGATCGGTGAGGGCCGGTCTCTTGGATGGTGCGTATGTTGATATACTCAATGCCACCCAGATAGTGAATGCTTTTACGGAGGTATTCACTTTTTGTGAGTGTGTGAAAGGAAGAGAGTAAGATTTTACATGTATTAAAACTTCTCCCTGATGCACATTAAAACCTACGTATAGTGTCAGGTTTCAGACTTAAAAGTTTTGGAGGGAATCAGACAAATACAAGATGTTGTGTACTGTGTGTGTAAACTATGTGTGTGTGTGTGTTTCTCCTCAAAGAAAGAAGAGGTGAGTCACAGAAAACGCTGTTAGGTACTGCGTCACTTCATTTAAAGGCAGAGAAAAGTAGTTCTCACTCTTTGTTCTCTATCCAAGTTTGTGTTCGGGTCAATCCACAATTCAGCAAACCAACTAGTCACCTGCCATATAATTGGGGATATGTCCAGTCGGTCTATTTTTTGCTCACATACACTCACACACAGATTTTATACCACTTATTTGAAATGTATTTGCTTTTTGTCTGTTACATGCTCACATGTCCTCTTGAAATTAGGAGCAAAAAGAGACGAGATGTGACATGAGAAAGAAAGAGGGACAGCCAGACAGAGCTATCCATTCATATTCTGCTGTGTTAGGTTCCTATCTATCGCTAACCACCTGCTCCTTCCCACATTGCCATACTCTCCAGGGTCTTACTCACCAACCTAAAATAAGAAGTAGTGCAGCAGAAATAGACATATAATTTGATATATAATAAAAATATATAACTAAAAGAACAAACGACAACATTGTTTTTGTGTCCCCTATCATAAACTGATTATGAATGATTTCACTTGGGGTGAGAGACTTTTAAAATATCTCTGTATCATAATATAAAAGTCTTATGATGATGGTAATTGCATTAGAATATAATATAAAAGACAGGGTGAAGGTTGTTGGTGCTTGGTTGTTGGTGGGTTGGGTGTTTTGGTTACCACCATGAAATACATTTGAATCTAATTATAATGAATAAGCCAGGGTCAAGCTCACTTTGTTGTGTTCTCATTTCAGCCCTCTAAATGTGAGTTAAAGAAGTTGTTGCCATGGAAATGGCTGTAAAACATCTTCCCCCGACTACCTGCTAACAATCTATTTGTCTCTCTCCATCAGGTTGCCTGTTTGAGAGAAAACTGTGCACAAGGGATCAGTTCTGCTCAGATGGTGAGTACAACACAGACACACACACACACACACACACACACACACACACACATACACACACACACACACACACACACACATACATAATCAAACATAATCTCTTTTTTGAACTTGAACATTAAACTTTCAAGACAGACTACTTTCTTAATCCTTTCTGTTCCTCTACAGCATGTTCAATTATTAACCCTGCAGCTGGACACACACACACACACTCACACACACACACATACACACACATTATGTCACTGGAAGCATGCTGGCACAAAGGCTGCATATAAAAATATACAAACACAAGTCAAGGATTTTTCCTCTCTCACGGCCCCATGTGTCTATCTCGCTCCGTCACCTGCCCTTCTCCCTTCTCTCATCTTTATCTAAGCCCCTCCCCCGCTCCACTGTCTCCATGGCAACACTGACATCACGGTGAGGTCGACACCCCCACAGTTGTTGTGCTAATACAGTGATGAGTCACTGACACACACTTACGCATTTCTCTGTGGAAACTGCACTTACGCACACACACACAGCCACTGGACAGAATACAAAATGGATCGGCGTAATTAGAGCTCATGTGCAGATACAGGGCCAGATTTATGCACATCTGTGTGTCTGAGGGCAGAGCGAGAGGAAATATCCATAACGGCTACTCAAAGATTTTTAGTGTGATTGGTTGTAATGAGCTGTATGTCTCTCGGCCTATCTCTCTGGTTCTGTGTCTCTTCCAGAACGCACAAAATAAGCTGTGATCTGTTTGTTAGACACAAATGTTTTAGCTTGTAGGGGAAAAAAAAGAAAGTGCAGTTCTTACAGTGACTAGCACTTTATAAGGAATACACAGCAATGGTGTTGAGTTTAGATCAAGAGGTCAAGAGGGTGCTTGACTGCATGAGCAGAAAACAGTAAGCGTAAAGTCAACAGAAAACATTCAGACTCTTCTGAGTCTTCATGAACTGAACTGAAGCTATGTGTAATAAATCCTGCTTGTGCTGAGTGTAATGTCCACTTGACCCAACAATCGTACTGTACAATGCATCACATACATTTTGAGTCTGTAAATATATGATTTTATTTGTTGGTTGATATATTTGATATCCGAAACATCAAAGATGTTATGAAGTTATGAAGTGTTCTAATTCTGTATTGCTAAATTATAAAAAATTTTAAAAAAAGAACAAAACTATGATGATAGTTGAAAGTTGTCCTATTTTTGCTCCTCTCATACATGTGGAAATGCTACATTGTAAATAAATTACTGTTTTAGTTAATGTTTCATTTCCTTTTGTGTATATTTGCAAATGCATATTGAACAGTATATACTGTGATAAACTTTTTCAGAAATGAGAAGCTATTATCGGTATTAATCCTTCGGTGTCATTACTCCACCTTTTTTTTTTTTTTTTGCAGTGGGCTTGTTTGCTGTTGTACTAGGAGTTGAATGGGAGGATCAATACCAGCTTCATGTCTCTGTGCTTTACGAGATGTGGAGACTGATCCAATACATAGGTCAGCTAGCCTCCACTAAAACCAGAAGGATTACCCCCTCTAGCTTAACTTAAACAACGAAAGCACCACATAATCAGTGACTGTGAATTTTCAAACTGAACAGAACAATATCTTTTGAATTGGCAAAGTAACGTGTAATATCTGCTTCTACCCAACACTAATGATGACAGATATAGCAGCTTATTTTATGGTGTCCTCTATAGTTTCACCAAGGCAGTGGTGCATTTACAATTGGTCTCTAATGATGTCGGCACAGCACAGTCTTCTCTCTCTTTGCAGCAAATCACCTTTTTTTTTCCTGCGAGCCCTCCGCTCGTGATAGGGAACGTTGATTGTGTCATGTGTGCCTCGGTGTGCCATATGGACAATACAGCATGTTTTAGATGTTGTTTATTTGTGTCTCTCTGTGGCAGGATGTGTGACTGGCCCTTATAGAATTGGGTGTGCACAGGGCAGTCGCTGTCTGCAGTCTCCATACGTTTGATAGGTGTAGCGAGGTGTGCAGTGTGTGTGTGTGTGTGTGTGTGTTGTGTTTTGCTCGTAAAATTGTGTAGAGTCTACCAGGCTTTAATGGTTTGACTGCGTCCTCTACCAGCTTCATAGTGCTAGAACAGATTGCATAAGGTCATGCTTATGTTGTTGCAGGCATCTTCTCTCTAGGCCTATACAGATTGTCACAGTCTGTGGCATGTGGTAACTAGAACAAGGTCATACATTGTCACCTGAGGTCTGTCCACACAGGTGTAGCACCCTGACCTTGTCACCCTGTTGCTCCTTGAGTGTGGGGCTGAAGACTACACGTTTGAAATATTTGTTTGAAATCTGCTGGTGTGGAGTTATAAAAAAAATGAGCTCACCAGACCTCTGTATCCTGCTACTCAACTCTACTTGAGGCTAGAGGCTACATTAGCTGCTTCTACAATAAGTCTTCCAAACCTAGTACTAAACTGTTGGCAGTCGAGTTGCATTGTGGGTAGGTAGGTGCCATGTTTTGACAAGGAAGAAGAACAGATGGAATAAAATTGATGCCGTTTCTGGCTTTGCAGCATCGACTTAGATCTTTTTTTAAACTATCCATTTTGAATGAAGCACTGAGTGCAATGCTAAGTGCAGCCTTTTTAAAGCCAAGACATGAATTGCAGCAGATTCTTTTTCTAAGTAAAGTTTTAATGTTTGGGTTGGTGTTGTATGGAAATCAATTAGAAGAGAAAATAAAGACTGTCAAAAAAACAGCTACCAAACAATTCTGGAGTAATTTATTTGGAGCATTTTAAATCATGTAATTTGAGCCAAAAATTGCATTTCTTCTCCATTTAACAGATTCCTTGTTCCAACATTGAATACTATGTTCCCTGCAAAAAAAGATTTCCACAGAAATAACTCAAGCTCCAGAAATAGTCCCAATCCAATAAAACCATGCGGTTTTCTGTGTTCTCTCCATTCATCATCTATTCCTCCTCTTCATGTCCCTTGTGTCTTTGCTATCACCACCAGGGGCATTTCCCCAGTGCAATACACTGCCAGGGAACAATATCTTATCAGTATCAGTATCAGTATCAGTATCAGTATCAGTATCATATCATCAGCATCATATTTATAATGTGATTAGGGAAAATATGAATAGAATCTCTCAGCATCTCAAGTTAGTGTTGTGTTACTTGTCAGACCTTAACACAAGACATTTAGCTTGCTGCGCACCTACCCACCCAGAGGGAGTTACCTATGAAAAACGTAAATAATATATAAACATGGTTCTCTATTTATTCTTCAATACATCAGGTTGCAAAAACTAAACTGCACTGCTAAATGTAAAATTTGTTTTTCTATAAAAACACACTAATCCTCTTTCATCTGTTCAGTATAACAATTCACTATCTCGCTGTGGCTGGTTGGGTTGGTTGAGATTTATCTGGTGTAGTGAAAGACTGTGGTGACTCATCATTGCGCCACATAATACATACTCTGCACTGCTTCATTTCTATTCCTTTCACCTAGCAGTCTGACAATCTTTCTTCAACTTAACTCTCTGAGTTCAGGGAAGAAATCCCAGTCTTGTAGATGAGATTTGGCTTTTCACACTGTAATAAAGTTAGAAATTTCAATTTGAAGTATCTAACTCACTAGAATAACTAGAATTTTGCAGTAGGTGGCTTCCCCCCTGAATTTGTTTTTATCTGATGCAGGTGCAGCAGAGCACGGAGTGGATCAGCAGCTTTTCAGTATGAACAGCTTAATCCCCTGGTTCCAGCCAGTTTTCACTGTGGCTCATGTCTGAACTAATTATTAGATTATAATCATTAATTTATGATTTACTATGGGTGACCACCTCCATACCACAATGCAGTTCAACAGACGTACAGTAAAGTAGAGAACTGGAACATATCTTCATGTGCTGCAGATGTTCAAAAAATCGATTCATGTATAATCATGAAAAAAGAGCAGGTCACAGAAAATGATTCTGCGTAAATGCTGTTATTGTTCCTGTTGCCATGAGGCTGCCTGCGGACTAGCAACTCTCAAAAGGAAACTGTTTTAAATTTTCAATAGCTCGCACACTGACAGTGGCATAACCTTGCTGAAAGGACTGTGACAAGCAGTATAAAGTGTTTGGAGTGAACTTCAAAACTATGAGTCACTGCTCTTGGCTCGTGTGGCGTGGGCTATCAGAGGAATTACAGGTTATTCCAAGAATTCTGTACCTCAAGGGAAGGATCCCTGAGCCATATGCGTTAGAACGTATATGGTTTCAGTTAAGTTACAGTTTAATATCCAAACTGTTAAATACTGTTGTGTATTTGCTGTTGTGCGCTGCATCTTCTAAGAGCCTTTATCACAGCAGACATTTCAGATTGGAAAAGCACAGATGGTACTCATGACATTAATAAGGTTCATTTTCAAATGTCCCAGTAAGTCATGACAATGACAGGGAGACAGCATGCACAAAAACCAGGGCCCTGAAACTGCAGCAAATTAAACCCTCATTCGTTTTCATGTTTCATACCTGTACTTTTCTCCCTGTGATATTTTGAAATGTCTTTCATGAAAAAGACCTATTGTATCGCATGTGTCCGTAAATTCTTTTTGTGTGTGTGTTTATTCCAGATGGGCTGTTTGGTCAGTGTCTAAGCTCTAAGCAGGACCAGGTCCAGTACCAGGTGTCAGTTCCTGTTCTGAAGAGGATGCAGGAAGTCCTCAAACAGCTTATGCTACAAGGTAGGATCGAACATGAAAATCATTTACAAACCTTAAACTTGTGAAAGTGAATGCCCCATTGTAGGTGTGATGAAAACACTAAGTCAAAGGTTTAGACAGTGAAGTTGTGTGTAATTTCTTGTGAGTCTCTTTCATGTATCATTTACGCTGGTCTCATAATTAACTTTAATTATGAATTCTATTTGCTTTCCAAAATCTAAATGTCAGTCAGGTATTAGCCTGTGTCAGAAAGTCAATACAAAATGCTGTAAAAATATTATTTTTAAACAAGACTAAATGCCATGCTAAGTGCTCTGTGAGGCTTTACTTACCGGCTAGGCAGTTCCTTGAGCTAAATGCCAATGTCAGCAAGCTAACATGCTGATGTTAACCTGGTCTAATTGTTGCCATGTTCACTATCTTGGTTTAGCATGCTAGAATTTGCTAATTTAATACAAAAACACAAAGTGCAGGTGGTAATGATAAATCATAAACCAAAGTACTGTATTGTCATGGTGAAGTTCATTTGGTTCATGTTAACTAGTATCCATTGTTCTGACATGAAGTCTGAAATCCATAGATGCTTTATGAATACAGGCAGTAATCCATGAGTCATGCAGGTACTTGAACACAACTCCTATTAGAATTTGTATAGATTTTCTCTGTCTGTCTCTCTCTCTCCCTCACACACACAGTCTTGCACTTTCACTCTCTGCCTCTGTGGCTTTCTTTAATCTCTCTCTCTCTCTGTGCATGTGTGTGTGTGTGTGTGTGTGTGTCTGTGTGTGTGTGTGTGTGTGTGTGTGTGTGTGTGTGCAGGGCTTTCATGGCAAGATGATATCACCCAGTATATTTTATCAAAGGAGCTGAAAAGAGTTCCCCATACCACCCATCCCTCAAAGCCAAACTTCTCCTCCTCCTCTTCTCATCCACCTCAGTAAGTGCTCTCCAGTTACCACCTTTTATTTCACTCTATTTTCAACCCCTCTATATCCATCCTAACCATGTCTCTGTTTCTTTCCTGGTTGCTAGGTCTAAACAGCACGTCCCCCATCACCACAGTTCTAAGTCAGGGTCCACACCTTCTGCTGGCAACTATGTGGACTACATGATCGTTGAGCCTCCTCAGTCCCAGCTGCGCATGCAGACAGCATCCATGGACCCATACACATACCACCAGGTATACAAACACACATGACTGCACAACAGCAGGTGCGTCTCTGCTGCACAGGTGTGGTTACGCCAGGCAAAAATCCAAACTCATTCAATTCAATCAAAACTCAAAATAGCACATCACAGTCTAGTTCTTAGATGACAATGTTATACATCTCCCAATCACAGCATAGGTACCAAGATGAAGTAGAAAGATCTCTCTTAGGGGCAGGAGGCAGCTATGCCCGCCCCTCTTCAAGGTCCCAGGCCAGTCAGAGAGAGCGAGAACGTGACAGGCAGCTGCTACAGGAAGCATTGTCTCTCTACCTGGCATCTGCACAGCCCTCATATCGCCACAGAGGAGCTGCTTCCATGGCTCCTGCAGGTAAAAGATTTTTCAAATTTCCTAAATAAAACACTGAAGAAAGAAGCTACTCAGGAATGACGGCACATTATACAATACATTATATTATTACTAAATAATTCTCTTTACCATCATAACCCATTATGCTATGAGCAGGTCTGCCTTACTACGATGACTTGGAACTGGACATACCAATGGACTATGTGGAAGGCTACACCCTAGAGGAGAGACTTGGTACTGCAGGCAGACAGCAAATGCTGCAGAACAAGAAAGTTCCTCAGGACTACAGCACTCTGTCTGGAAACAATGGTGAGGAAAAGGAACTTAAACTTACTTATACTTAATAAGAAAAATGCAAGAGTAGAGCTAATTGTGTTATCTTGTGTTAGACGGCTTGCTCCAGAGGATGTCAGGAGTCTTGCAGAGGTATGGAGTTGACCCCAGAGAGCTCAGTCAAGAGCAGCTCTACAAGCTAGCCCTCATACTGCAGCTGCTGCAGGCCCAAGACAAAACAGGTACAGTCCCCAGATGGTAAGAATGGAAAAAAAAAATCAATCATACTAAAACTGATGTGTGTTTTACTGTAGTATTTGTCTAAAACCAGTAGTTTGTCTCTGTTAACACAGATCCTATTGAGAAAGACGTCATCACCCTCAAGGAGGTACAGTATCTCAGCATCTGCTATTATCAGTGGTTACAAATTGTAATCCTGCACTTTTATCACCAGCATGTCCTCTATCACCCCCCCACCCCCCACCCCCCCATAGATGCAGCTGTTAAAAACAGACAGTGTGTCAAATAAGCCGCAGAAACCTGTTCCTGTTCCTGGTCCACCTGATGCCCCTCTTGCCCCCTCCTCTGCATCAATCCCAGCTACACCTGCGGCCAAGAGCGCCAGCCCTCCCCCCTCTGCCACCCAGCCTCCTCAGGCCGCTCCTGCAGAAGCTGGACAAGGCCTGAAGGAGCAGGGACCACCACTGGTTGAGGGAATGGGAGCTAAGGAGGAGTATGGATACATTGTCACCAACCAGAGGTCAGCACTCGAGCAAATTGAGCAGTCAGTTCATCCGTTTGTTGTACACTGCTTAAACTTGTGTTGGAACGCTGTCATAAAACATGGCATTGACATGGAGGATGATGATGTGTTTCTTTCTTCCCAGTCCTTTGGGTCTGTATGATGGAGTGAAGCTGTTGGAACTACTGGCTGATAAGATACACCTGACAACCAGCAGCTTCATCAACATCAGGTAAGACCACTATTATATGTGTCAGTGTTTGAGAGACTTGTGAATTTTGCTATTTTACATCAAACACTAAACATATTTTTCCCTTGTGCGTGTGTGTGTGTGTGTGTGTGTGTGTGTGTGTTTGTTTCCAGTGTGGTTGGTCCTGCGCTGACGTTCCGTATCCGGCAGAATGAACACAACATGACGGCTGCAGAGGTGGCTGCTAAAGCTGGTGAGACTCAAAACACACACACACACTCACACCTATCTACCCACACATACACGCAAGCATGAAGTGAACAATACAGTATGTGGGCACATTATCCTGTCACGTCCTCAGATTCCATATCACCAAAGCTTTGTTGTCTCACATCCAATAACAAAATCATTGTTGTTTTTTCAACCCTGCAGTATCTGAAAAGAACTTCCTGGAGTCTCAGACTGGCCTGAAGATTGTACAGACTGGCGTGGGAGAGGTACTTGCTACACACACACACACACACACACACACACACACACACACGGACACACTTAGCCTACACAGCCTCTGTGGAAAATTTCCCTTGCAATCCCTCCTATCAGTAGCATATGGAGCAGTTGTCAAGGCAACAGAGATATTATCACTGCTCTGTATTCTTTACCATTTCCACTTTAATCATTCATCCATGGGCTTGAGCCTGACACATTAACAGACTTGCCGGTGTCAAATGAGACTGCTGACACTCTTGCTTTCACATTGTAGTCATCACATACCGGTTGGTAACTTTTCTGAAAATGGGGGAAAAAAAATCTTCTAAGATAAATTGTATTCCAAGCACGAGCACTCTGATGTTAGAGAGCCGTACTGTACGGCAGCACAGACAAAGGCGGCACAGCTGTCTCACCTATAAAGCTGGTTTTCCTATGCATGCAAAACCCCTGTGAGTGTGTGCCACCTGGAGGGCAAGTGGCCAGAACAAATCAGCAAGGCGACACTTCATGACAACCAGCATTTCACTTGTTGCCATGGCGTTTCATCTTCTACACCTCCCCCCTCTACTGTGGCTTCCTGATCCCAGGTGCTATGGCAACAGTTACAGGTGTCATTAACCTCATTATTCCCTCTTATTCAAACAAACAGCCTGATTCCAGGCCTCTGACTCATCAGCGGCATCTCACATCTTGTGTGTAATGGATTAATAACGAAATGCCCATTTAGAATGAGTATTAGGGTAACACACACAACAGTTGCATTCATTTATTGAAATGCAATGCAATTTAATTTCCTGCCAATACATTAATGCCGTATGTGTGTGTGGTGCTGATGTAATGGGATGGCAGAATGTTTTAAATCACTAAATAGTGAAGTTTTCTCATTAGTGTTGTCAGTTATGATGAATTTATTTAGAAATGCATTTTTTAGATTAATTTGATTATTTTAAAAATAAAAAAATGGTTGCATAATTGAAATAAAAAAAATATATAAGGTAAAAATAAAAAATAAAATAAATGTGAAATAAAAATAAATAAAAGTCCTTTTAAAAATGACAGTACCTATTTTCTGTTTGGGTCTTTTGTTGTTATAGGACAGATCAAAATCCAGTTTAGTTGAAGCTCTTGATTTGTTTTATTTTAGAATGAATTTATTCTTTCAAGGCTGGTTATTTTGTTTATCTCCTTTTTCTGTGGAGTGAACAGGACTGTGGTGATTCAGTCTCTGTATGTATGCGCATGAGGAAAAACAGGACTGAACACAAGCTGTTTAATTGTATTGGGCTTGCAAAAGGTGGAATGACACTGTGGAACAGACTAAAACTTATTCACTGACCTCCACCAACCTGTGCTGTCTTCCTGGATCATACCACTTTGGCCTTCTCCAGGCCTCTGTCTTTAAAACTCAACGTCAACTGCTCATTGAGCACACCTCGCTGTCATGTGCAGTCGCAGAGAAACAAATCTCTTGTTCAGTTGAAATGAATGACCTTTGAATTCCAGTGGTAATCTGTTTTCTTTGTCTTCCTTCCAACCTCCCCATGTGTTGTTCACTACTCTTTATTATCGTCTTTTTCCCAGAGGACTGATGCACGGGGTCTCCCTCAGGTAACCAGGGTTTCCCAGGGCTCCAGTGGGACGGTTATCACCCTTGTTTCCATGGCGGTCGTAGGAGGTGTGCTGGTATTGGCCATGGCTGTAGCTTGTCTCAGACACTATGCTCAGCAAGTGGCCAATGGCAAGCTTGGCCTTGGGCCAGAGGGAGGAGCAGAGACACACTTTGACTACCAGGTATGGCAACATAAAGATAGTCAGGACTGATGAAAAGACATTTTATATATTTGTATTTTAAACTATTCAAGAATCCAATGTCATTTCATACATGTAATGATCCTCTTCTGTACTGGTTGCTAAGCTTCCTACCTGTTTTCTACCCAGTTGTCAATGTTGTAAAAAAAAAAACACTAAACACATAAAAACCAGAGCACGGACAGTGAAAATTGCAATGTATTTCTGAATATCTGCTAGATTGCATATTATGCTTCTGATTTAAATTACAGGCAACAAAAGCAAAATAGTGAAATGATGGAAAATATATCACTTGTCATTTTATTTTTTATCATCAAGTCATCAATTTTTAAATTAATATATTATTTTAACCTTTTAATATAAAAAAGTAAGATTTTTCTAATCATTTCTCATTGATTGGTTTTCTGTGAAACACAAAATGATAACTGATTAGTCAATTAATCAATGTTGATGGTGATGCTTAGTAGCAGCTCTATTTCTGATGAAAAGATTCCCTCCCTACTGTCTGTTCAGGAGCTATGTCGGCAGCACATGGCGTCCAAATCCTCCCTATGCCGCCAGGACTGTGTGGGCGGGGTGAGCAGCAGCATGGCGGGGTCTGCCATAGCCACGGGTGCTGGTGGTCGACGGGGTACAGACACATCTCGCGTCAGTAGCGTTTCCTCCCAGTTCAGTGATGGTCCCCAGCACAGCCCATCCTCCACCCACAGCTCTACCCCGTCCTGGAGCGAAGAGCCAGCCCAGTCTAATATGGACATCTCTACTGGTCACATGATACTGGTGAGTGAATCAGTGTGGATTCTCCTGCTGTAAAAACCTTCCTTGTTGATTATGAGAGGTTGTTAATGTCGAGCATGCTGCTCCCCCCACAGGCATATATGGAGGATCACCTGCGCAACAAGGACCGCCTTCAGAAGGAGTGGGAGGCTTTGTGCTCGTACCAGGCTGAACCCAGTTCAGTAGCTGCGGCTCAAGTCCCGAGCAACATGGACAAAAACAGAAACGCTGAATCCCTCCCCTGTTAGTTGATCAACGTGTCACTCTCTCTGATCACTTCTGTCATCCGTCAGTATGTCATGCATCTGTCAGCTGTCAGTCACCGCATTATAGCTCGTATCCAAACATGTACAGCATCATGCTACTTTCATGCATTTCCATTGAACTGCATAGTAAGAGCCAAGGGGACTATAATCATGATAAACCATCCTTATATTATTATTTTTATCCTAAACATAATTTAAGCAGCAGCCACTCACTCAATCATTATATCATTAGCTGATTAATCCTTACTTAACACCTGATTTCTTCTCCAGATGATCACACTCGGGTGAAGCTGAAGACTGAACTAAACCCCAATAAACAAGATTACATCAACGCTAGCATCATTGTAAGACCTTCTTTAAACATTAGTGGTTTGCTACTTGGTGAATTATCATCTAATCCAATATAAAGATTTAAATAATAAGCCATTCTTTGATGAGTTTCACATCTAATACACCACAAATACTTAACAGACCCTGCTGTCTTTTTATTCTTCTAACCAACAGTTTGATCATGACCCTCGCCAACCAGCTTACATCGCCACACAGGGACCTCTGTCCCACACTGTCGCTGATTTCTGGCAGGTCAGTGCAGTTTTTCCTCCACTTTCCTTTTCCTGCCTTGTTTTCACACTTCCTCCCTATCTGCTGGATTTCCTTTCTATTCTGTAATAGACAGATAAATAGAAATAACAAAAGGATGCAGGCCATTGGGCCATTCAGTCTGCCAGCTGCCACAGACTTACTGAAATGTGACAGCTGAATGTATGTGTGTGTATGTGCGTGTATCATTGTGTCTGCATCCATATCCACGTGTCTGTGCGTGTGTGTGTGTGTGTGTGTGTCCCAGATGGTGTGGGAGAACGGCTGCACGGTGATAGTGATGATGTCAGCCCTGGTGGAAGATGGAGAGAAGCAGTGTGAGCGATACTGGCCAGATGAGGGCTCATCACTCTACCACATCTATGAGGTTAATTTCATGTTTTGAATCATAACTGTTCATTTCGTATATGGCACAAAACATCAAGTGTAATGCTTGCCTGCATTAGCCCTGTTGTCGTAACACTTTTGTTCAAAGGACACATATGTGTACAAAAAAGGAAGAGGGCCCTATGAAAGCAAATAAATACACTTTCAAGGTCTGAGATTAATCTCATAATTTTTAAGACAAAGTCAGAACTCTGAGATTTAATGCAGACTATTAGGATTAATCATAATTAGGAGGAACATGAGGGCCACATGATCATTTGACCCAGTTTTTTTTTTTTTTTTATCTGCAAAACGTCAAGGCCATTGTGCCTTTGCGTTAGCGAGCGTCACAGCCACAGTAGCATGAGAGTTGGTGGGGAGAGTAGCTCCATTGCAGCACGTTTTTAAATGGAGACCACCTCACCATCAACTGCTTGAGGTGTAATGGCACTGAGAAATTTAAAAAGAAAATGTGCAGTAGGACAAACTTCATCAGCACGAAGCATATCAAGCATACAGTGTCGCTGCATGGTGGAATGAGGAAACATGAATCTCTTTGCATAAAAACAATAAATTCTAATGTCAACCAGTGATGGTTTGTCTCCCCCTGGTGGCAGCTACTTACAGATTTGTTCCCTCTCATCTAATCACAACATTTTCCGTGTTTTCTAGGGAATATGTGTTACAAAAATGAAAAAAAAAATGGGTAATGGGTGTTATTTTGTATCTTGTGATCCACTAACTGTAGGTGAAGCTGTTTGTCTGTGCACTTGTCTATAAAGATTGACCGCTTTTGGTTAATATGAATTTCTTGTTTGTCTGACAAAGAAGATTTTGAGGAATTTGCTAAATTCAGTGGATGGACTTCTGTCCTAAATAAGAAAGCCACTTTTTTTTTTCTACCCTCTACCCTCATCTTTTCTGTCTACCACCACCCTCCTCTCTTTACCAGGTGAACCTGGTGTCAGAGCACATCTGGTGTAAGGACTTCCTGGTGCGTAGCTTCTACCTGAAGAACGTCCAGACACAGGAGACCAGAACCTTGACGCAGTTTCATCTGCTGAGCTGGCCAGCTGACGGCATCCCCACCTCCACACGACCACTGCTTGACTTCCGCAGGTAAGAGACTACACAGCTGCACAAACACACACACCCACACACACACACACACACACACACACACACACACAAACACACACAGACCATCCCCACATGTGCTCTTGAGTTGAGCCGCAAAATTCAGTTATCAGTAAACACAAAGTGGATTAAACAGGTAGTCAGGATGCAGTGGGTGAGTCAGTGGTCACATGAGTGGGTTTGAATCTGCCTGATTACCTTCATCACTTCCATCTCTTTTCCTTGTTTCCCATCTTCCCTGAAATTTCGCTCTGTGTATAATCAAATAAGGCATCCATGCTATTCATTTCATGGCTTATCCATCATCTCAGTGCTCTTTCTCTCTCTCTCTCTCTCTCTCTCTCTCTCTCGCTCTCCCTCTCTCTCTCCCTCTCTCCTGGTGTGCAGATTGATAGGTTTGTATTTTAACATCTCCCAGTGTCATTTTTGTGGTTTGCAGCTAGTACTCTGGCTCCAGTTGCATAGTCACAAAAATGAGCATTGGCAGGTGTGACTGGCTACTGCAAGAGGGACAGTGAATCTGTGGCTTTCTCCTCACTTGTTCTTTCCTGTTTTCCCATCTCACTGTCCTTCACAGCCTCTTGCAGTTTTCATTTTTTTCTGTCCTGACAGTCTTTTCCTCATTCTTAATCTCATTGTTTTCATCTGACATTTAAGTATGTCTTCCCATTCCTCCTTCTTCCTACTGGGTCGTGTACTGCTTTCATCTCATGCCTTTAATTTACCCACGACCCAAATTACATGAAGAGACATTTTATCCTTTGCTGTGTGCATTTAGTCGTGCTTTCTTTCTTCTACTTTCCCTTGTTCCCTTGCTTTCCAGGAAGGTGAATAAATGCTACAGAGGTCGTTCCTGCCCAATCATCGTTCACTGCAGGTAAAAAAAGAAAAAAAAGAAAAGATTCTGATGGGCCACAGAAACACCAGAATTTGCAGAAACATACAACATGTATGTGGTTTGAGCGGTTTCAGGTAAAACAATTTGGAAGATACTTTGACAGTTTCCTCATGTGTCTCTATCACTCCCACAGCGATGGCACTAGCAGGACTGGCACGTACATCCTCATTGACATGGTGCTGAACCGCATGGCCAAAGGTGAGCCGCGCATTCAAACACACACACTTTACAGATGTATACACGGGATATGATTCGACACCTAAACATTTTGATGTGGAGCTCATAGATTATCCGAGATGAGCAAAGTGGTCCTGTGGTAGGTAGCTTAGAGGGGAAAGTTAGCTGGAAAACATGACATGACATGATATTTAGTTTAGTTTTAACTTTTTAAAGATCACAGAGCTGAGCAAAGTCTTTCAAAACCTCTCTTAGAAAATCCATTTGGTAACAGATGGAAACTCAGATGTTTTATTTACCGTTTTTACAGGTTGAGTGGATTTAGAGTGAAGGGTCTTTATCTTCTGTAGCACCAAAGTAGTTGTAGGAAACCTCAAAAACCATAGCAGTGATGCTTTTACTGTCCCTGCTGTTGTCATTAGGAGTGAAGGAGATTGACATCGCAGCCGCACTGGAGCACATCAGAGACCAGAGGCCTGGCTTGGTTCGCACCAAGGTACCGATAATCTGTCTGCGTGTTTGTGTGTGTGTGTGTTTTCAGTATTTCCTGTCTTCCTCTGTCCCATCTTTAACCATCCCTCTCTCAAATTTTTTTCTCCCCTCTTGCTCCCTCCCCACTCAGGACCAGTTTGAGTTTGCGCTAACAGCAGTAGCAGAGGAGGTGAATGCCATCTTGAAAGCCCTGCCACAGTGAGCAACAGCCGGGGACACACTGAGGACATGCAGACAAAAGAAAAAAAGAAATACACGCTCCAAAAGGACACGCTTCATGGAACCCAGTCATGTATGTCTGGCCATCACTGTAAATAAGAATTTGCTCTACCACACTTGTTTTCAGCATGCAGTATTTTACCATCTGCCCATTCTCCGGGTTTTTGCAACGTTTGGAACCTAATTTTGTGAAACGTGCATTAAATGATGAGGATGTAAATATGAACAGAGGATCATTTTTTTCACCACTGTGGCACAAATTTGAGTCTTTGCTCTCTGGAATTTCTACCTAATTAGGCAACAACGAGGCCATTAGATGTGAACTGCAAAGAGCGAGGATGTGCATATACTGTGCTGGTGTGAATCCAGAACCTCTGCATTAACCTTTGCCTGATTACAGAGAAGGGAGCCATTTGTTGTGTGGTCCTACGGTCAGAGAGGATACATTAGTGTAACATTGTTTACCATGTGATTCCATCTTTGCCTCATCAACCATTTTACTGGATATGATGACACGATTACCTCAAATTATTGATGATTTACCACCAACACTGGTCTGTTTTGGCTCGTCTGATGAACATTATGATTTTCTTGGACTAATGATAAAATAATGTTAAATCCCTTCACAAACTTATCAAACCTCTCAGACGTCCTTCTTGCTGATATACAGTGAGGTTTCTGTCCATTTTATTCTCTGAGTGCGGTGTTACATGTCCACCAGAATACTGTATGCTACCGTCTAGTGTGTGTCGACTTCCAGCAAGTTTTTATTTGTGAGGCTTGTCTTTGCCTTGACAACATGATTGTTTGCGCTAAGCACTGGTCGTTTTGTAAAAGATGCTGTACTTTGACCACAAAGTACGCATCGCACACACACATACACACGAAGTAACTCTGTTTGGGTTCTTTTATTGTCTTTCTCAGTGTTCGCCCTTGTGATTAATGTAAATAATCCTGATCATCCTGATGATTGTGTTTATTTCATGTAGCAGAAAGATAGAAAATATCTATAAAAATGTATTTTTGACTTGATCTTAATAAATTTGTGATGTGATGCAGCAGAAAACAGATAAAAAAAGGCTTGAGTGCTCTTTTTTTCTTGGTGTGTTTTACAGTATATCTAATAAAAACAGATGTTAAATGGGGCATTTAAAAAAGGGTTGTTTACCCCAATATAATTCATCCATTGATATGAAATCAACATATTATCCAATTTGTATCAACAACAGTGAGGCCAGACTTGAGCATTTCACCCTACTAGTCACACCTATTTGTTTTTCAGACAGTCGCCTCTTGTAACAGCCAAAAATAACTCTATTATAATATTGTCAAGATGTTTGTTTTTTTTTACCTCAAATGATTTTGTGGCATTTAATTCTCCGTTGTTTGATATTAGCCATGAAGTTTCTTGAAGATAAACTACCACGGACTGATTCAGTGTAGTCAGCAGGAAATGCTTTATTTCAGAAGACATTTCTTTTGCCTTTTGCATCCTTTTCCACTTGCAGGGATAATTGTTTTTCCAGTGTAATTTCCTACTCTTTTAACAATAATTACATATATTGTACCTGTTCTCCCAGGACAAAATTAATTCAAATACAGTGAAATGTTGTTTAATGCAGAGATTATTAGAAGTATTTCCTTGGGTTCAAAAGTTTCCAGTCTTTTGCTCCACAGTGAGCAATGAACACACACTCAGACATATACATATAAAATACACATTTGAATCTTTTTTTAAGTGTCATTCAGCAGGTAGGAGCCGTGGTGGGCAGAGAGAGACAAGTGCATCATGGGGAATTGACCTTTGACCTGTAAGAATAGATGCACAAGGACATGTTACACTTTATCAGTAATGCAAATAGGCATCACTTGTGAAAGAAAAAGACTTGTAAGAAAGATGGGACTTCATCATCTGATCTGATCTACTGATGGAGCAGGAGAAGGAATAAAGGAACTATTCTCAGGGTGTTTCAGATTCACACTGGTTCTTTACCTCAGGGTGGGGCTAGGCCACAGAGCAGCATGAGCCAATCAGGTTAGCTTGTGAAGGCCTCGAAGTCTGAGTCTGAAACAGGAAGCAGGAAGTGTAAGACAAAACCAAAAAGTCCAACTTAAATCCCATGTATGTTTACTAGACATGGAGACCAGAAGACAGCATGGATCAGAGCAAATCAAAGGAGAGAAGACCAAAGGGCTGCTGATGAGAAACAGGCAGGTTTGTAATAATGCCACATACATGGGCAGTTTTTGAGGCAGTGTAAATGGAAAGTTCTCAAGTGGGTAAATGGAAAAACATTGGTTAAGATAAGATACCGAGTGAAAATAAATGTAAGCAGAGTAAATATATTCTAAATGATATGCAATAATTTTAAAATGGCTCATCTGCACATGCTTTGTTACGGAGCTCCAGAGAACCAGGGGGAGTCATTCAGAATACATGAAAGATCTCTATTATACATTAAATGTATTATGTAGTCATAGTAAACTAGTAGTCAATGTGTAGCATGGAATTAGTGTAAAGTAGTGAAAAATCCATGACGGTTACGGCCATATTCTGAAAAAATCAAATATGCCAACTCCTCTTTTAGCTCAATTTTTATTTGTTTGATTGAAAATAAAAACAACAATAACACTTGTCAGTTCAATGGCGTACAAATAATACAGGATGATATACTGTATATTTATAAGACAAATCATCTGCCTCTTTCTCTCGCATTCCCTCTTCATGCAAAATAAGTTTGGAGAGGATACAATTGACAACTGAGTGACAACAGAGTCAAAATGATCTGAATTTGTTTAAAGTGATGATATATTCTTACAGCTGTGCTTTTTTTTTGCCAGTGATGATAGTTGTCTTTAAAAAATGAAAGCAAAAACTCATGCAATATAAAATAACTCAAGCACTCATGAAGATTATATGACAACCAAATAAACAGGACGCTGCCTGTAGTAAGGTGCTTATATACAGTAAAAAAACAAAACAATTAATTACTATATACTACTGGTAGTAGTATTTCTTTTTTAATACCGTTTTGGCACCAACAGGACTTTCTGTTACTACAGCCTTCATAGATACAGCAACAATCACATTTGAAACAGTTATTAGTGTTCCTGTGTGTGTGTGTGTGTGTGTGTGTGTGTGTGTGTGTGTGTGTGTGTTTTGTTATAGGTTAGCCTGATAATCAGACTAAATTGCCATTTTGTTTTCATTTCATTAGAAGTCTACACTCAGGCACATTTAGGTTTCATCCAGCAGCACCATGGTAACTTAACATTCAACAGCTCAGTTCTTTCTCTCCCTCTTTCTCTTTCTCACACACACACACCTACACCTTGGGCAGACAAGCTGAACAGTTTTCCAGCAGATCTGAAAGTCCATGGTTTCTAGGACTGTGCAAATGAGGAAACAAACAGTGTTCTAGTGAGACACAAAACCCACTGCAGCAGTAGCTAATATGGCACTGATATATCTGTAACTGAAAGTCTATAAATGTAGAAGTATAACATTACCTTTGATCCAAAACATACTCTGTGTATTCCCATGTCTTCTCTGCCTTTTTCATTTATTAAGATACAGTATGTCCTTCATTTTGGCAGATTTAAGTACTTATTTAAACATTAATGCATTTTTATCTAAGCCTGGAGGTAATCAGTGCATAACGTAGGGTTTAGAGAGTTGCCCTGGAGGATGACAGTCTGATAACTTTGCACACAAGACAGCTCAACTGGAATCGCTTTAGTATTTTCCTCAGGTGCACTTAAGGAAGATGTAGCTACTGTACCTCCTCCACCACGACATGTCAAACCAGTCCAAGGGAAATCAGACTAGCAGTGTTTTAATGATGAAGCTCATTTTATACACACTACTAATCACTAATGCAGAATTTTGCCATGTTCCTCTATTGGAGGAAACGTTGGCTGGAAGGCTGGTGCTGAAAGAAAATTCTGGTGTACCTTATTGACTGAAATACATTTGCTTTGCTTAAAATACATTTGTTTTTCTGACTGAACATTTGCAGCGATTATGTGAGCACGGTAAACAACAGTACAAATGCACAGAGGCATCAAAAGAATCAAAGTATAAAATATTTTTAACATGATTATTTGTCTACACTCAGTCGCAATGCTGTGCACACTCTACATCGTGCTTTGCCTTCATTAAGTATTGTTACAAAACTACAATCTACAATCTGACCAAAAATAGTGATGACACTCTAGGAAAAGTTCATTAAGGCCAAGATATACTCAACTGTAATGATACATGAGCTCCTCACTACTGCAACTTCACACAAAATATAAAAGCTGGGCTTCCTGTTCAGACTGGGGAGCCTGTATGTATTATATTTACAATGTATTTGTATTGTACTTTTTGTTTACATTATTATAATTATTGTCAGTTGACCACTGAGCGGAATCAAATTAGTCATTCATCACTGGAGAAGGTTCTGTGGCCTACTTTTGATTTTGATCTATTGTTTCAGACTGGGCTGAAAGCTCTGATACATTGCCTTTGCCAGAGAGCCTGAATGAGAAATTTCTATGGCAGGGTCTCAACTGACCCAAACACAGCAACACAAACACACACACACACACAACACACACACACAACACACACACACACACACACACACACACACACACACACACACAAACACACACACACACACACACACACTCACACACAACACACACACAGCAAAAAAAAAAGCACAAAGATTTGAGAGCAGAAAATACTCTTGGGATTTAAATCACTACTAATTGGACGCATCTAAATCCAACCTATTCCCACTCCTTTCTGTCAGCAATACGTAAATATTTGGCATATTTAGAAACATTCATAAACAATCCTTGATATTGCTTCACAAGCATAAAGTAACACTATTTAACTTTTGGTTCTGTATTGGCAGATTAGGTGGAAATGTCTGGGTCAGCCATCAACAAAGAAAACCAGCACAAAACCACAAACCCTGTCAAAGCTGACTCACTGTCTCCTTTAAAGGCGTTAAGACTGTAATCCTTGTGATCGTTTGAGCCACCGCCTCAAATTAAGAGTCTGGCAATCACATTACATTAGAGTCCGGCTGCAGGCAAAGCACCGAGGTAAGTATAAAGAATAAGGCATCCCAAATATACACACACGCACACATACACTGCTTTAGCACACAATACACCCACACTTCTTTTTCTTCTTTACGTTGCCATCGCTATTTTTTATGGCAGGTTTAAACTCTTCTTCACTGCTCTGGCTTAGCGGCGTAGTGTTGGAAGTTGTGGGTGACTCAGGAGAGAAGTCTGGCTCCCTGGTTCCCTTTCCCGCCTTTTCCCACCTATCTCCAAGCCCTGAGTCCATTTCCAACTGCCCCTCTTTATATTTATCCCCTGTGACAGCCTTTACAGTGCGAGACACATGAACATTTTTTGTTACAGTTTGGTTACTTGTAACTTTGACCCCGCCCCCAGCACCTGATATGAAGTCAGTAGCAGCTGCTTTCTGCTGTGCTTCCAATTCTGACAGGCTGCATGCCAAAGCCATCTGCAGATCTTCGTCGTCTTCATCATCGTCACTACTTCCCACAGTCTCTTCATAGTTGTAGAAGGGAGCGGAGCTAAATGACCGATGTGTGCCTGCAGAGAAAGGGCTGGGGCGGGATCTGTTGGACTCAGCAGGTGATCTATTTTGGAGTCCTGGCTTCTGAGGGGAATGATGGGGCTGTCCCTCTCGTCGGCTTAGCTCTAAAGCAAGGGCCATTTCATCCTCCACACCTGGGAACACACACAACTACACAGGTGTGTATGTGCACAAGCAACATGATTCAACATATGCACACACATGCCTAACTAAGGGGGCAACAAGAGTTAAATAATGTAGAGATATCATCATACTACAAATTTAACTTAATATCTAAAACCTTTGCTATTTTAATACTATAGTTTGAAAAAATCACTGGTTTGACTTGAAAGCTTTTCTGATTAGCAAATGTAGTTCCTGTCTTTGTGAGCTCTGTTACTCTTATTTTGCAAGTGGTACCAGTTTAAGTGAATTTGTGGATTTCAATTCAAGATATTGCAAACCTTTGCGAAAGTTTTTTTGGCATCAAATTTCTCAATCACAAAATTCAGTGTGTGTGTTCTTACCGTTAATTAGGACACTCTTTAACACCCCATCCTCCTCAATTTCTATTCTTTCCTGCCCATTCTCCTTTATCCTGTAAAGAAGACAAATACACAGATAAATGGTAGTATTGACATACCTCCATCATTCTTTTTTCTGTGTGTATGCATGTGTCATTGTGTGTGTCACTTGCTCTTTTCGAACATAAATGCATATTTAATCTTGTAACTGTCACAAGATTTTCAGTGAATTCCTTAAATATCCATGTGACTTTTGATTACAGTAATCTGAGCTCCATAGAGTGCTGCAGAGATGACGTATTTTTGTAGGACAAGCCGTAAATTAACATCACCCTGGTTCCCTTCACAAAAAGCCAATGGGATTTTTGTCATTACCATCACTAAAGTTCCAACTTGTCATTTGATTTAACATGATTACCCCTTCTACAAAACCCTTTCCTCTTAGAAAGTTAAAAATAATTATAGAGCGCAAGTATAAACACAACAAGGCCGTAAAGGCAGACTGGTGAGTAGATAGGTTTTCTTGTTGAGCGTGATAATGTTTAACATCCCAGACTAACTCTATGGTCTCATTTGGCCACTTGTTAGCAACCTCCTTTTATAAAACGAATTACTGATGTATTTTATGTAATACAATAAAACTGTAGGACTTAGGACTCATTCCTGCAGCACTCCATTAACAGTGTAGGATTGTAGACAGCACTAACTTATGCGGACTACAATCACAGGTCTACAGCCCCAGTTTGTAGTTTATAAAAATAGAATTAAGAGTCAGTCAAATAAAATCCTAAATACCCAGTTGCATTTAAATAACATTAAAAAACAATAAGAAAGGAAGCAGTTAAGCAAACCGCTGAACTTGTTTTGCAGACTGAGGCTTGCAGTTATATAACATTTGTGTGCAAAATGCCTTCACACCCTTGGGATGATTAAGAGCTTGAAATGTATGAGTGATGAAATGAAATGAATGAGTACTTTCCAAATGTGTAACAACCACGTGGAACTGCAAACTAATGTTACTATAATGTTTGTTTCAACATAGCTGGAATGAGATTTGTAATATCAAGATTTCCAAAATTTCCAAAGAGCTGGAAAATAAAACTGTATAATATGGCAGGTTTCAGATACTTTTCTGTGAATGTTTCACTTTTCTGACTTAAAGTAAAGACATTACATACTTCTTGGTAGTGGTGCGTTTTCCATTTACGATGCGAGTGGAGGTAGAAACTGATTTGAAGTTGCTCATCCCTCCACCCATGCTCTCCATCCCATCCAGACCCCCCAAGGAAGAGAAGGAGGTAAAATCAACTGGATAAGGACAGCAGACCAGGAAAGGGAAGAGAAGAGAAGACAAGAGAAAAGCTTGATTCATTTCACTTTACAGTACCCGTGTCTGTGCTGAATTAATACCACTCCTGTTTAATCACTGCAGAAAGTTTAGATTGAAGTTAGTAATGAAGAGCAAGGTGTCCTAATATATAAAAAATAAGTAGAAAATAATAAGAAAAGTGTTGCCCACCAAATTAATGACCCATTTGCTGATATGATAATGACTGTTTACCTTTGGTTGATGGGAAAGAGAAGAAGCGACTGGGGCCAAGGCGAGAGGATGACCCGCCAAACGATGAAAAGTCATCTGAATGAGAGAAAGACACATAAATATGTCTGTTACGTAGTTAAACTTAAGTCAAAAAGCGGGAACTTCTCTTTTAAGGGACTATGTGTAATTATTGCACCACAAGTGAATAGATAGAAAAATTTTAAAAGTAAGATTTAACAATTGTCCAGAGGACACCACTCAAAAATAAAAAAATTCACTGGAACTGACTGAGTGTAAGAACAATCATTTTGATTATGTTTTTTTTTACAAAATATATCACCATACCTAGTGCAAATAGCAGAAAATTAAATTCCTCACTGAATAAAATTTTAAATATTAAGGCAGGAAAATTTCATAAAAATGATAATGGAACCCCACTTGTGGTATATTGTGTATGACTTACCAAAGAAACTGGCAAATGGATCCTGGCCACTAAAAAACTCTCTGAACACCTCATCTGGGCTGCGGAATGTGAAGGTGAATCCTGGGAAATCTGATGAAAAGTCAGAGCTGGTGGGACCTGGGAAGTGAAGTCATCGGCATCAAGTGGGTGAGGAGCAAACAAAGAAGAGAAAGAGAAGATGGGGAATATTATATTGAGTGAATTAGGGAAGGATGAGATGAGGAAAGAGAAGAAAAAAGAGGAATGACAAAGGGAAAAGGGAGAATAAGTGTTATAGAGGTGGAAGGATAACGATAGCCAAAGAAAGAAGGGAGAGGGAATAAACAGAAAGAAGAGACAGAGAAAGAGAATGAGAAAAACAAAGACAAAACTATCAGCCCAAATTTTTAGCCTTAAGAAGAGTTGTATGATTTTCCACACTATTACAATTGTAGGAGCTGTTGTCTGGTTGGTTGGTTTTTCTATTATTTATTCATCTGTTCTGAGTTTGGATTACCTAATTTAATTTGTTTTATTTGATAATATTCACTTTTGTTAGTCATTAGTTGCTTTATATTATTTGCTAATCTAGCAGAGTTAGCTTTGGTTAACTAGAATTTTGTTTATTTGGGTAACACTATGGGCACATGAGGTTATTTAGGTAGGTAGACTGATTTAGGACCAGCATGTACCTGGGTGGGACTATGGTTTTCTACCAGAGCAGGAGAGACAGCAGGAAACATGATCCCTTTGTTCCTTTCTTTGCTTGCTTTTTTAGATACATAAGTCAAAAGAAAAATGCTTTGTTTGGACAGTGTATTCTTTTGCCTGTGTAAACCACATCCCCATGGTGAATCAGTGGCCTTTTGATTTTTATTTTGGATTTAAATTAATATGAAGACAAATAGCCACTACAACAACAATGGATGCAACTGCATCTCAACAGCGCAACAGAAGGTATTTATTTACCTTTGTGTCCCATTCTGTCATTTCCATAGCTGTCATATGCATCACGCTTACTCTCTGTGACAAAGGGAAAGAGCACAATTTAATGATGGAACCAAGAGGCATCAATACATACCTTTCTTCTCCTCTCATACAAACACCCAACACACACATTCAATTAAATTAAAAACATAACTAATTTGTTATAAATTTACTTAAAGGTTCTCTCTGACAAGCTTGAAATCATCCTACAAAGACTCAGATTCATGACTCACAGCCTCACACAGACAAACAGACAGACAGACAGACAGACAGACAGACAGACAGACAGACACACACACACACACACACACACACACACACACACACACACAAACACACACACACACACACACACGCACTGATCGGACTTACTGTCAGACAGGACTTCATAGGCCTCAGCAAGTTCTTTGAATTTTCTCTCTGCTTCATCTTTGTTGTCTGGGTTTTTGTCGGGATGCCATTTCAGAGCCAGTTTCCTGTACCTAAAGACACAACACAAACAGAGACATTGCTACACACACTGACTCATACACACAAGTAAATAAATATATACAAAGACATGCACTAATACTAATATCTCTAACACTAATGCTATGATATCTAACAAAGTAAACAAATTTACCCCGTGGAAAACCTGAGGAAAAATATGACACCACTCCATTTCTCTTTCGCGAAATCTGTATATTTCATACCAGTGGGTCTCAAATCTCTATTTATGGGTATAACCTGGTTTAGTTATAATGTATAATGAGGTAGTATATTTTTGGTATTTTATCATTTTAAAAAAAAATACTTGTACATGTTTTTGTTTGAAACGAAATTCAAGTGTGGCCTAAAGTTCATAAAACTAAGAAATGCTGCTTTTGAAGCAGCTTATATAACCTGGCAATTTTAAGTAAGACGTTACGTTTTAAATATATCTTCAGAAGCTACAGAAACTTTTGTACTCAAGTAAAATCTTGCTTTGTTGTTTATTCCTTGAGTATTCTTCAGATGATCTCAGGATACTCACGCCTTCTTGATGTCGTCCTGGGAGGCCGTTTTGGACACTCCCAGGATGTCATAGTAATTCACCATCTCGCCTCCTGTCACTCCTCACCTCTCTGAAATGAAAATACAATAGTTTTCTTTTGAGCATTGCATATAATCAGCTCCGATTCGACACACACATTCTGCATTTATCAAATTGATGTCTCTGATTACAAAAAGGTTGAAAAGCCTTGGAATCTGTGGTCTTCTAAAAATCCACAAAAAGAAAAAGAAATAGCTCTGTGCTCACTATCTATTCAGTTTGTAGATAAGTGGTCATATACAGCCGAATGTAAGCTGGCAAAGTGTTATGTAAACACAGTTGTTTATCATTCTGTACACTAAAGTGCTGGTTAAGGATTCAAGAAACATATTACAACACGCAAGAGTTTTTACTTATTTTGCCTATTTTTGTCTGTAGGTGTACAAATCTCCATCACTATCCTGTTAGCTTTGCTGCATCTGTTAGGTGAGGACAACTTGGTGTTCAATGACATCCTGTAATCGTCAGCATATTCACCCAACCTGAGCATAGAGCTAATCTGCCAGTATGACTGAAAACACCAGTGTGCTAAGTGTTAGGTCTCTGTTCGTATCTTGGTGACAATAACGTCATCTCCTTTTTGTTTCACTAAAAATGAAATTCACCTCAAATGAGCTTTTGTTTTTTTGCCTCCAGCAAAATAATTTTAAAATACATTTTTGTTGGCAGTTTTGACAAAGATGTCAGACAATTCACATATCAATTATTTGCATATTTACTTATTTGGTCTAACACTTGCTTAGAATCAAACTAAACTTAATTTTGTTCAAGTCAACATTAAATTCTGTCAACATCTGATTGCTGTTGTCAAGAGTTACTTGTCACAGCTGCACTCTCTCAGCAATACATGAGTTATAAGAGCCATGAGTCACCATGCATCCCACAAGCACTGAGTAATTAATTGTTGACTGCCATTTTGATTTAGTCTAGAATCAATATTCTAATCTAAGTCACACATCTATGGCCATAACTTAAAAATAATTAACATAGAGGTGGGTGCCAACAGTAGTCATTACTAAACACACAACTACATGCAATGCATGCTGTGGACTATGATAATTAGATAACACTATTTCTTAAACATTTTGTGCTGAATTTTTGATTACGATTTAGGATTTTTGATTTTGATAACAAAAAGTTTCCAGTTAATCTGACATACATATAGTCAATAAAAAGGTCAGTTGATTCATCTGACAATTAATTGTGTACAATTTCTTGTACACACAAGAAAAGTAGTTTTTCTCCTACACACTAAATCAGCTACAGATGGAGGCACTTATATATCAATAAATATATACAATAAATATTATATTAATTTTTTGTTGTAAAAATATAAATATATAAATAATTAATTAATAAATATGTGTTTTTAGCATTTACTTGAAAGTGCAACTATCAAGTGCCCTTGAAATGATAAGACCTCAGTACAGTCAGTGGTTCCATTATAGCCAGAGTCAGAGTCAGCATGCTATCCCCCATACCAATCTTATTAGTGGACTGCAACAGTTTTGGGGTTGAGGGGGACTTCCAAACTGAGGTAAAATAACTAAACTTAACTTTCTATGACCCCTTGGGAACAGCCATGTGCTCACACAAGTATTATTACTATGTTTATTTCTAGCGTTGTGGCATCTGACAACTGCTGCTGACATGACAGTAGGCCTACACAAACTTATATACACGGGCAGATGCAGTTGCATGCACAGGTGCTGGCTATATTCAACGTTAAATGTACCGTTATCGTTATTTGGTATTTCGGTGAGACAATGTTCCCTTTTATGGTAAAGTTAGACATGTAAAGTAAATTACAGTAGCTACACTGGCTATTGGCTGTAGCGACAACTTCAAGACAAGCCAAAGCTGCGGACCTACCGTCTGAGTCCTTTGGCCTAGTTAGTGAGGAGTTCCGCCGTCTGTCCACCCGGTATAGAACAACAATGAATTAGTTATGTTAGCGGTGCCTCTGGAATGCGCTCCCCCTCTCTGCGTGACAGCCTCACACCCCCCTCCTACAGTCAGTCTGCCTGTTCGCCGCCCCGACACGAATGCTTCCTAACGACACAGTACCACTGCACAGTTCCGATACGTTGTGCCTCTGCGGTCTAACTCTATGGTCTCCGTCCGGGAAAACAAGCGGATAGTCAGACTTGTTAGCCGCGTGTGCTGGTCTAAGCTGCACGCGCTACGTCACCGTCAGCTGAGAGAAGAAAATAGAGCGTCTAGAAAATGCCAGTGTTTGGAAGCGTCATCAGACCCGCCCTACCCCGGTTGCTGCCTGTTGCTCTATGGTAATATAGACACACACATGAGCTTAACCTATAAAACCAGCCACTTCTGTCGGTGTTCATATGGCTAACCATTAAAGTAACCATAAACTATAAAGCAAATAATCACCGATATTTCTTAACAGTTTCATTTCAAAATATCACCAGTCATTGAGTTACGTTATGTTACACTGGTCGGACTAAATAAATGTACTCTACTAAACTGCGGTGGAACTTCTACTTCTTCTACAGCCTTCTGCTCCATAAAGAGAACATTTACTTTTGATACTTTACGTTTTAAATACTATTGCTTATGCAATATTTTGAATACGGGGCTTTTTTGGACTTTTTAGTGGAGTAATTACATTGTAGTATTGTTGCTGCTGAAGTAAAATATGTGAAAACGTATTCTATTCAGTCATAGCTTTAGTCATTTAAACTACATTGTAAGCCTAGTGGACCAAAAACGTGCACTTATAGCCTACAGGTTTACGATGTGATGTTTAATATGACTAAGCCTGTTTATGTAGGCTACTGTAGAGTCTAAGGACAAAGGCAACTCCCATAACTTTACTAGGTGGTCACATTACTCCCATCTGGTGACCGAAGAAGTAACTGCAGGAACAAGACCATCCAAGCCCTTTGAATACTTTGTGATCATCAACACGGCACAAAAAGGCAGGAAATTGGCAAAGGCAAAGAAACTGGAATTTCCTTTGTAAATGAATGCAAGCTACACATAAACAGAATCTGAAATCACGGGTGGAAAAATCCCCTCTATGACGTACCAATGTAACAGAATGTAAAGTGTAGAACTTATATAATCACCTTGATTTAAATATTTTGTTGGGCACTACTGTTGATTTTGTTTTGCCCAAGTCTTTTGTCCCTTATGCAGATAATAATCCTTTTAAATGCTGGAAAAGTTCAAGAATGATTACAAGTTCATTAAAAGGTTCATGAGAACTTTTTATTGATAATACTGACATATCACTACCACAGGTTATCAGAATGTTGCTGGGAATGTGTCACGTTCATGATAACATTTGGAATGTGTGATTATGTTTGATACTTCAATACTCCTCTCCCTCTTCATCCTCCTCTCCCATGCTGTCAGTGCCAACCTCTTCATAATCCTTCTCCAGGGCAGCCATATCTTCTCTGGCCTCTGAGAACTCTCCCTCTTCCATGCCCTCCCCAACATACCAGTGGACAAAGGCCCTCTTGGCATACATGAGGTCAAACTTGTGGTCGAGACGGGCCCAGGCCTCAGCGATGGCTGTGGTGTTGCTCAGCATGCACACGGCCCTCTGCACCTTGGCCAGGTCTCCACCAGGAACCACAGTTGGAGGCTGATAGTTGATGCCGACCTTGAAGCCTGTGGGGCACCAGTCCACAAACTGGATGGTGCGCTTGGTCTTGATGGCTGCGATGGCAGAGTTAACATCTTTGGGCACCACATCACCACGATACAGCAGACAGCAGGCCATGTATTTACCATGACGAGGATCACACTTCACCATTTGATTGGCTGGCTCAAAGCAAGCATTGGTGATATCAGCAACTGACAGCTGCTCATGGTAGGCTTTCTCAGCAGAGATGACTGGGGCATAGGTGGCCAGAGGGAAGTGGATACGAGGGTAGGGCACCAAGTTGGTCTGGAACTCTGTCAGGTCAACATTCAGGGCTCCGTCAAAACGAAGTGAGGCTGTGATTGAAGACACAATCTGGCCGATGAGCCTGTTCAGGTTAGTGTAGGTCGGCCTCTCGATATCAAGGTTTCTGCGGCAGATGTCGTAGATGGCCTCATTGTCCACCATGAAGGCACAGTCAGAATGCTCCAGGGTGGTGTGGGTGGTGAGGATGGAGTTGTAAGGCTCCACTACAGCTGTGGAAACCTGGGGAGCTGGGTAGACAGCAAACTCAAGTTTTGATTTCTTTCCATAATCAACGGAGAGTCTCTCCATTAGTAGGGAGGTGAAACCTGAGCCAGTGCCTCCACCAAAGCTGTGGAAGATTAGGAAACCCTGCAGGCCAGTGCACTGGTCAGCCTGAAAGGAAAATTGGCTTGATTAATCAAAATCCCACTCCAGTTGCACAGTCTTTACAAAGGTATGAAAAATGGAAAAGTCACCACTTTGTCTATATCTTCCAAAACTGGAATCTCCTTTCTTTCTTTCTCTTTTGGTGAAAATAGCTGAGGCAAAATTCTTTTTGGAGAGCTCAAACTCTTGTTAAATGCTAAACCTGCCCAGCAAACTACTGTCATAAAGCTCACCAATTTACGAGTCCTGTCCAGCACCAGATCGATGATCTCCTTGCCAATGGTGTAGTGTCCTCGGGCGTAGTTATTGGCAGCATCTTCCTTTCCTGTAATCAGCTGCTCTGGGTGGAACAGCTGACGGTAGGTTCCTGTACGCACCTCATCTGTAAAAGGGACAATTAAAGACAAGAGTAAGAACAAATGTCTCAATATGAAGAATGCTTTAAACATATTTGCTCTGATACTGTAATTGAATATGAGAAAGCTACTTTGCTCAAAATCAAAGTAGAGTATCATGAGTGTACATGTAGACTTTTTGGTGTAAAGTTTTATGTGCACAACTTAAAATCAAACAAAAAATAATGGAAAATAATGTGGACTACTGACCAATGACAGTAGGTTCCAGGTCGACAAAGATTGCTCTGGGAACATTTTTTCCTGTCCCTGTCTCATTGAAGAAGGTGTTGAAGGAGTCATCTCCTCCTCCAATAGTCTTGTCAGAGGGCATCTGTCCATCTGGCTGGATCCCATGTTCCAGACAGTACAGCTCCCAGCATGCATTGCCCATCTGGGCTCCGGCTTGGCCGACGTGCATAGAAATACACTCACGCTGAATAAATGAATGGGGAGAGGTTGGTTAAAGAAGGCCACCAGGTAATATGTTATCAGAGATATGCTTACTACCAAATGTAAGTGTTACTGTACATCTTTTTTATAGAAATACTGCCTGTCTCCAACAGTGATTGTATAGAAATAACTGTATCTTGATTGAATAATTCATCCACAGTTGACCAGTGGGCACCAATGTATTTCATGTCAGCTCATATTGTTAAGTTGAGTGGGTTCATGTTATTTGTTATAAAAAGGGCAACAGACATGAAACATGTATTTCCTTATTGCTTTATAGTGTCTATGTTGTTTCTTTGAACACCATGTCTTATGACAATCTTTGGTATTATGTCTGCCCTCAGTTCAGAGAGGAGACAGCTTAGTTGGAAAATAAACTTTTGACTGCGGAGCACTTTAGGCCAGAACAGAATGCTGAAGCCTTCTGCTGCTCAAAGTGCTTACAAGGAAGTAAGCATTTAAATGAAAGCAGCAATTAGATTGTCCACAGTCTGCACTACAGGCTGCTGCAGAAGAGTATTCGTAGCTGCATAGCTACAGATGGAATGCAGTTTTGAAAGTCTTGGAGTCAGTTTTAGCAGAGTGTTCAGGAGAAAAAAGGAAAATGCAAAGTAAGGCAGTATGTGGCAGACAGGAAGGGCATGCCTCAAGAAGATAGGAAAACCTTCCCCCACTTCTTCATCCTGTACCTCCTCCCTTTCCTCACTCCCTCCCCTTGTGTGCCTCTCTCCTCCCCCCATCCTGTCCAGCTGCATAGCGCTGTGTAACAGCCTGGGATGTCTCTCTCTCTTTCTCTCTCTCTCTGTCTGTCTGTCTGTCTCTCTCTCTGTCTCTCTCCCTCTCTCTCTGTCTCTCTCCACATCTCTCTCCAACCAAAAACTCCTAACAGCTGCAAAATGGCTGCCAACTAACTTATACTGTCTGGGCCAGACCACTCCTCTTTTCTCTCTTCTTTCTATCCATCCCCCCACTGCCACGATTACCCCGGTCACTCCTTCTTAGCCACGAAAACTCTAATTCCTGAACAAGCACACAATGATGAATCCACATACTTTTTTCTTTAGTTACATTTCTTTCCTGTTTTATAACTAGGTGTAACATATCAAACAAGTAGGAAAATGTGGAAGCAGTCTAACTCATAAAGTGTCTGTTATCTGACCTAGATTTTTCTGTTTCATTTCATAAATTCAGCTCAAAACTACTATCATCTAATAGGATAGAGCTGCTTTTGTATCAGTAACCTTCAACTCAAAAGCAGAAGCCTCATAAACATTAAAGAGGCCTAGCTGTATAATCCATCTAATGCTAAGAAACACAGACAAAGGCAGGATGAAGAAAAGGGAGAGTGGAAATTTCTAGGCTACGTCATCTGCAGTTACTCACCATTTTGTCTGCTTGTCCTTCGACCGACGTTGAGGATTCAGACACAAAGCAGAAGTGCGGAGGAGAGGGAGAGTCAGGGTTTATATAGGCAAGGATGTGGAGGGGGCAGGCAGGAAACCACAGCAAGCAGCTGCATAGCTCATTGGCGGGAGGGAACAGCAATTTAAAAAAAAAAAAAAGAGGGAAGTCCCTTATTACTTTATGTCATGTTATCCACCCTTACATTCAACTGCTTTGTCTTTCAGTTTGAGATTAGGTGCTTATGTGTGGAAATATAACCCTCTTTCATTTAGCAGTTTTACCCTATTTTCTCAATTTGTGTGTGTATGAGAGAGAGACTATGACCATTTGTAGTGAGACACTGTTCAGAGTTAGTTTAATCATATACAAAGCCTGTATTTATTTTTATGTAGGGGAATTGTCAGGAGCACACAGAATGGTCACCCACAAAACATTTCTCAACACATATTCATTTAACAAGGACTATGGGCTTGAAGAGGGATTATGCTTATCTTATTCATGCTTCTGCACCCACACACATCAACACACATGTATTGTCCACCCTGTGTCTGTATTAAATAATTGAATGGATAATCACACATGATGGAACAGTCTATGAAGTTCTTTATTATTGATCACCAAATGCAAAAGACATATGTTTTAATGGTGGGAAAAGAAAATGGTGAGCAGTAAGAATCCTTACAGTTGCAGTTGTGTTAAAATGACAAAAATGACACGGCAATATGCAACGTTTCAGCTAAATCAGATAATTCAGAAAAACAGAGAAGCATCACGTTAGCAACCAATAAACCACTGAAATGTTAAAGATTAAAAAAAAAAAAATAGAGAAAAACGTCTGAGAAATGTTATGCCAAGTTTTCTGATTTTCTTTGGTACAATTTTTCAACAGCCCTCTTAGGATCACATAGCTGTGATTCATACATAACTGGGATCCTATTGTTCCTGCAGGCCACTGTCTGAGTATGAGCTACACAAACAACACTAGTCAGTGAGTTAGTCAGTTATTTTCTCTCTCTCTCGGGCGCTCTCACAGAGTCACAGCTGAATGGCATATAGAAACTGACATAGGAGCCCTTTCATAACTTACATTCCACATGGGAGAGGATAGTGGGGGGAGGTGCACAAAAAAGAGGGTTTGGTCTAAGTTTCTCAGGCTGATACTGCAGAAAGAAAAGATCTTTAAAGGCAGAAAGCAAGACTGACCAGAAGTTTTTTTTTGTTTTCTTTTTTTTTTTTTTTTTTACATAACTGCCTTTCTGACATTCTTACTTTCACGAACAGAACAGTTTAGACTTTTGATTAGTTTTGTGAATGTTTGTCACAGACTCTTTTGGTTGGATAGTATTAGGGAATAGTAAACTGTAATTTTCTGAGCCAAATGGTTGTTATGTTGATTTATTAATACATTTGATACATATGTCTTTACTACAAAAGCTGAATGCCCTATTTTAAAAATAGGGATTGATCTATTTTGGCTCAAGTGCAGGCCTCATTAAAGTCAGTATTCTTCTCCTTCATCCTCCTCTCCCATGCTGTCAGCACCCACCTCTTCATAATCCTTCTCCAGGGCAGCCATGTCTTCTCTGGCCTCTGAGAACTCTCCCTCTTCCATGCCCTCCCCAACATACCAGTGGACAAAGGCCCTCTTGGCATACATGAGGTCAAACTTGTGGTCGAGACGGGCCCAGGCCTCAGCGATGGCTGTGGTGTTGCTCAGCATGCACACGGCCCTCTGCACCTTGGCCAGGTCTCCACCAGGAACCACAGTTGGAGGCTGATAGTTGATGCCAACCTTGAAGCCTGTGGGGCACCAGTCCACAAACTGGATGGTGCGCTTGGTCTTGATGGCTGCGATGGCAGAGTTAACATCTTTGGGCACCACATCACCACGATACAGCAGACAGCAGGCCATGTATTTACCACGACGAGGATCACACTTCACCATTTGATTGGCTGGCTCAAAGCAAGTGTTGGTGATATCAGCAACTGACAGCTGCTCATGGTAGGCTTTCTCAGCAGAGATGACTGGGGCATAGGTGGCCAGAGGGAAGTGGATACGAGGGTAGGGCACCAAGTTGGTCTGGAACTCTGTCAGGTCAACATTCAGGGCTCCGTCAAAACGAAGTGAGGCTGTGATTGAAGACACAATCTGGCCGATGAGCCTGTTCAGGTTAGTGTAGGTCGGCCTCTCGATATCGAGGTTTCTGCGGCAGATGTCGTAGATGGCCTCATTGTCCACCATGAAGGCACAGTCAGAATGCTCCAGGGTGGTGTGGGTGGTGAGGATGGAGTTGTAAGGCTCCACTACAGCTGTAGAAACCTGAGGGGCTGGGTAGATGGCAAACTCAAGCTTAGACTTTTTACCATAATCAACAGAGAGTCTCTCCATTAGTAGGGAGGTGAAACCTGAGCCAGTGCCTCCACCAAAGCTGTGGAAGATTAGAAATCCCTGCAGGCCAGTGCACTGGTCAGCCTGAAAATGTAATAATTCAAGAATGTTAAAATCAAATTATATTTTATTCAAGCAAACACAAAGTTTAATATAAAACAAACATACACTAAGTACTCTCAGGCAGTCTCACCAGTTTACGAGTCCTGTCCAGCACCAGATCGATGATCTCCTTGCCGATGGTGTAGTGTCCTCGGGCGTAGTTGTTGGCAGCATCCTCCTTTCCGGTAATCAGCTGCTCAGGGTGGAACAGCTGCCGGTAGGTTCCTGTACGCACCTCATCTGGACAACAAAATAATGTCATACCAATAGATTTACTGAATGAGTAATCCTAAAATTGCTATTAACTGATTTTCAAACAAATTTGTTGATATAATTATAATCATCAGCTATTTAACTGACACTTACCAATGACAGTAGGTTCCAGGTCGACAAAGATTGCTCTGGGAACATGTTTTCCTGCCCCTGTCTCACTGAAGAAGGTGTTGAAGGAGTCATCTCCTCCTCCAATAGTCTTGTCAGAGGGCATCTGTCCATCTGGCTGGATCCCATGTTCCAGACAGTACAGCTCCCAGCATGCATTGCCCATCTGAGCCCCAGCTTGGCCCACATGAATGGAGATACATTCACGCTGCAGAGAATGAGCAATAGTGTTCAGTTACTAGAAGCATCAGTTAACTACTTAATATATTCTTCTCTACTACTGTCTGTTATGATGCAGATCTCATTTGTCTTAATGGATACTATTTCACACTTTAATTTATAAACCAACAGTTATAGACTAAATACAGCATATCTCACAATGTAATAAATACAGTAGTATTTCACCCCAGCAAACCATATCTTACCATAGTTTTTCTCTCTTCTCCAATGTCCAGGTATCGGTAAGAAGATGTAGCACTAAAGGCAGCGGCGTTACTCAGCGCTTATATACCTGCAGCTTAAGGTGAACAGTGATTTGATCTGTACTGTAATCAGAGAACCTCCTGATGAGACCAGGATAAGACCATCCGCTTGCCTGACATACACACAATGCAAAAGGAGGTCACCACCCTATTCATTGTGTGAGTCTGTGACTGTTGTCTGCCGGTGTGTATGTGCACCTCAAATTTCAGAAAGCAGAAGCAGAACCCCTCAAGAGGGAAAGGTAATCTAATGTAGTTTCATTGGGCGGTTTCTAATATTTCACTTTATGATGTAGTTTATGATGGGACAACAAAGGCCTGTTGTTTTGAGGTTGCCTGAGTATGCTACTGTCAAAGAACTGTGTACTAATTAGAAAAATTTGGAATCGAGGTATGGTGAAAACAAAACAGTTATTAACTATTCCTGACTTTTCCAATGTCTCACTGTCATGTTGTAATTTTGACATTTTCATGTGATGTAATGTGTGGATACCTGAGTATTTGATGGATAAATGTATGAATATTAACTAATTTGCTGAATCCATCAACTTTTTGCTTCCACTTTAATAAAAAGGAATCATTTGAGAAAATATTTATTTAGTTTAGTCTTCAAGCAGATTCATTACAGTTCGTCCTGTCCTGTCTGGAATATTTATGGAATAATCGCACAAAATGCAAATTTAAAGGTATGTATATGGAAAGACATAATTTCCAAACACATAACATCTGTTCTGGATCCCAGTGACACCTTTGTCAAACTCATTTTATTCGTCATCGCTTCATTAGGCGTCAGCTGACTAAATGGAGTAAACTGCCTGCTGGAGTGGTTTCTCCACATGCAATATAAGAGTCAGTCACAGGAGCAGTTCATAGAGTAGGTTAAAAAGACACAAAATCATGGTTATTTAAGTCCTAGTCATTCCATTTAGATTTCTAAACCCAGAAAGCCATTCAAATCCAATAGGTTGTATAGTTCACATGTTTACAGTTCTATTCAACATGACATTCATCTTGGTAGCAGTGAGGTAGCTGCCCGCAACAGTTGGCAGGAAAAATCTAAACTGTTGATACAATACCATGGCTAAAGGCAGAACGCCCGGCTCTGTTATATTTTAAAACAAGTCAAACCACTTTCAAAACCAGCAGGCAGCCACTGTAACATCAGAGTTCAAACAGTATGGGAATGTCGATTCAGTAAAATCTTCCAATGGGTGATAAAACATTGAAGCAATACATGTATGCTGACTTCCTCCTTGCTCTCGCCATCTTTATTTCTAACAGCATGCGTTATTTTCATCCAAAAAAGCAGTGGCTGTCAATCAAAAGTGAAAATTAATGACTAACTCAGCACTAAGATAAACTCTCTCGCACTTTCTTAGAAACCATCCTGCATGACTTTAAAAATATATATATTTGTGGTAGCCTGGAAGTTAAAAGTGATACCACAGTGTCAACTGCACAGCTATTCATTATATGGTTGGTTCCCCTCCTGAGGCTGTGAGACTCATCTGTGACAAATACGGTAATTGAAGTTGGTATTGTATTCTCAACACAAAGCTCACAAAGCACTATGTAGTAAAGGCTAAATGCCATGTTAGATGTCAAATTGTTGTCAAATTTACATGTTTTGGTTTCATATTGGTGCTTTAGACCAGTACTTGCAATGAGATTAGTTACTTTAT